TTATTTCAAAATATCCGTACATTATTGACATCAAATGACATTGATGATACGATAAATTGCAGGAGAGCGAGAGAGAGAGAGAAACATTATAATTCAACGATGATAAAATGAAAATCTTGATTACATTTAGGGAAAAAGAAACGAAAAAGATAAAAGATAAAAGATAATTCGTTGATTTATTTAAAAAGAAAAACATTCATTAAGTTTTAATTCATTCAATTGATGTATATGAAAGAAGAAGAAGTTGATAAGATGAAAATAAAAAACAAAAAAACAACGAAAGAAAGAAAGAATGAGAAGAATTTATTCTTATATTCTTTCTAACCGTTTGTGATCAATAAAAAAAATTGATTGTAATTTGAATTATAAAAACACATAATATCGAATCGATGATTATACACACACACGCATAGACATACACATAAAGTGTATTTTTTCTTCGTCTTCTTCTTCTTTGATAATTTATTCGTATTCGTTAAGAATCAATTCAGAATAAACAGAAAAAAATAGACCAAAAAAAAAAGAGACCAATTCTTTCGTTCGATCTCAACTCATAGCCATAATTATAATTATTATTATTATCATCATACGCCCAATCTATAAAAAGCAAGAAAAGATCGATCCTCAACAAATTCTATCTATCTATCTGTCAATTATCATTTTCTCTCATTCACATTCACATATAATGTTCATCTTTATCAACATTTTATTCATTATTTTCTCGTTGTTGTTGTTATTGTTGTTCTACTTTATTATTTTCTTTTTGTTTTTTTCATTCTTTCTTATTTGATTCAATGGTGGTAGAGATGTGCTTATGGTGGTGGATATTTGGTTTGTTTTGTTTTCAAATGAAAATAAATTAAAATGTGTCAAAGTGGAAAATCATTTTGTATTGAATGAATGATTGAGAATATTCTTTGAGGGTAAAACATTACAGCTTGCCGCTTTTTTCATATACAGAAAACAATCGATTAAGAATCTGGACAACCTGATTATTGATGGAAAAAATGAGATTTTTTGGTTTTGGGAAAATTCTTGGTTAAGGGAATCTGAAAATAATTATTTCTTTTCGGGGAAGATTCCAAGATTGAAAATGTACCATAACTGTGTACATTATTTTGTCACCAATGATGATGATTATAATAATAATGATCTCGAACCAAGAACTTGACCAAATCCTCATTATAATTATAACAGCCAGCAAAACAAACAAGCAAAGATTATTTGGATGACCCAAATTACCAAAGATTTATTATTAATAAAAATGATGATGATGATGATGATATCNTTTTTTTCTCTCTCTCTCTCTCTCTCTCTCTCTCTCTCTCTCTCTCTCTCTACCGAAAAAGGTTCTCTGGTTTCATCAAACAAACAAACGTTAATCTTTTTGATAAACATACCAAAGAAAAAAAAGACACCATCATATGAAATGAGGAAGATTATCGTCTTTAGAGGTGGACTATAAGATCCATTCAATTATTTACATTTGGAAAACATTCTTTGAAGAAAAAAGTGAAACACACTACAGTAAGAATGTCAATTAAAATTCATTTAAAAAAATGCTGTCGTCGTTTTTTTTGGCCATTGATTACCTTTATTTATTTATCTTTAAAAAATAAGGAAAAAAAAATTTCAAAATTTCATCAAAGCGAATAAGAATCGAATGATTCAAACACACACACACATGTGGACAAGAGAAGAATTTGAAATTAAATGCGCAGAATCATTTCGAATCGAATGATGATTCTTTTTTTTGTTGTGTTGAAATTGCGCATGTCTGTGAATAAGAGATAGAGAGCGAGAGAGAAAAAAAACATTCAAAATCAAACATTCGAAATTCTGGATTCACGGTGAAGCATCGAGACATAACGAACGAGCAAGCAACGATAAAAAAACATCGACATTTTTTTCGTTGAAAAATTATTCAACACTCTTGAATTTCTGATTTTCACCAAAAAACAAAAAAAAACAATTGTCTGCAATTGAAAGATTCATTCTTTTTTTTATCACAGAATATCGGTGTTTGTGTGTGTGTGTTTGTCTGGTGTAAATATACATTATCATTTTTTTTTCTCAACGTTTAATTTTTCTTCGAAAAGCCTTTTTTCACAAATTGATGGACATTAAAAAGAGACAAACAAACAAACAAAAATCAATGTAATTTTACAGTGTATTTTCAACATTTTCAGCAACCGAAAAAAACAAAACAAAAATGTGACTAGAATTTTGAAGAAGAAAAGAAACTATTTAAAATTTCTTTTTCTCCTCCATCGCTATTAATGTTGTTACGATGTTGACCAATTCTTGGATTGTGTTTGTGTGTGTGTGCGTGTGTTTGGTGGATGTTTGTGTTTTATCGCAAACAATAAAAAGAATTTCGTCATGAAATGATTATCAGCCATTAATACGAAGAAAAAATCAATCGTTTCCTATGAAAAAAACAACAACAACGACGACGATCAAATATGGATTATTATTCATCATCATCATCACCATTATCATTTCCATTATCAACCGATATTAATATAATCGATGATATAATTGATAATGGAAATTTATTTTGGGATAATTTTACCAATTGGAATTTAACATCATCATCATCATTATTACCAACAGCAACAACAACAACAACAACAATTTCATCATTTAACGATAATAATTCTAATAATGATCTTATTGAAACATTATGGAATGATATTTATCGTAATAATAATAATGATCCAACAATAGCAATGGCATCATCATCAACAACAACAACAGCAAATCAAAATGAACAAATATCGATAAAAAATTTAGATAAATGGAAAATACCACAATATTATTCATTATCATATCAAATGATTGGTACATTATTTCAGGGTATCATATTTATAGTTGGTATGTAAATATTTATTGATCATCAACACCAAACTCATCATTCAATCAAAGTTACACAAGATTTTTCTTTCAAATACATATATAGAACATAAATTTTCAAAACAAAAACAAACTGCATATAAGCCTTTTACAAATACCTTTTCTTTTTGTTTGTTTGCTTGTTTGAATAATATTAATAACATACACACACACTGAGACGAAAATTATTATTATTATCCATAATTTATACCTCTCTCTCTCTTTTTTCCCCCGTTATTTAATATTATTATATGATCCTCATAAAAATGAATTTAAAATGACGACAAATACAGCAACAACAACAGTGACAAATCATGAATTATAATCGTCAATCTCTTTATATATTCACATATATATAGGAGAGAGAACATGCATCTTCAAAGTTTGCACTGGGAAGAAATGATTTTCTAGCTCTTGAAAAAAAAAATCAAAGCAAAGTGAAAATCCAGAAGAAGAATTTCATAGTTATGTCAATGATAATGATGATGATTATGATGGCCATGATAATAATGGTGGGGTTGTGGATCATCATTAAATAATTTTTGTTTTTGTTCAAGTGGAATGAGTGGTTTTTTCATGGAACAGAATGAATGAAATTCTGTCATCATCATCATCATCATTCTGCACCGAAAAAATATCAGATGAATGGGGAATGAATGAATGGGGAAAATTTTTTAATTTTGACAATAACAACAAAATCTATCCACTCGATTTATGATATTTTGTTTGTATTTTATACATGCTAAAATCAAGCAAAAAAAACAACCAACCAAGCTAATTGACGAAATACATACACAAACACACACAGTGTGAATGAAAGAATAATATGAAAACAAGAATCATTAAAATCATCATCGTTTTTTGTATATCTGAAAGATATTTTTTAATTTAAATTTTTTCATTTTTTCAGGAATTTGAAATTCCATTTTTTTAATATTTTGTGGTAGAGAGATGTTATTTTAATCGGTTTTTTATCAACCAACCAACCAACCAAAATGATTATGCAATGTTTATTTTTTTTGTTTGGTTTAAAATTTGGGAAAAAATCTCATAATACTGGTGATGATGATAAAAACTGAATTTAATTTTATAATGAAAAAAAATAAATCAATTAACATTGGATAGGATAGAATGATGAAATTTTGTTTTCTTCCTTTCAATAGATCAAATGATCGCTTATTTAGGCACAAAAACATTGTTATTTTAGCCATTGAATGATGATACAATCCAGTGTGATAGTGATTTTGTGTGGCAGAAAAAATAAATTGATTTTTTTCTCGCATTACAAATCTTTTCGTTCATTTTTCAATGCGATTTTGCATTTCTTTTGCTTTTGCTTTTTGATTTAATCGATTAATTTTGTTGACATTATTCAGCTTCATTTAACAATTCTTTATTTTTATTTATTTATTTTTCCTCTTAATTCCTATACCCATATATATATTGCAAGCACTGCAAGATCATATTAATCATATGATAATCACCATCATATTAAGATTTATTGATGATTTTGTCAATATTCTTTGGATAAATTGGTTTTTTTGTGATTTTATTTAGCTCAAACATATTACATCATCATCTAAATAACTTTAGTTTAGTCAAGTTTATTATTTTTCGAATTGATATTCTCAATGATGATTTATTCGGTTTCATTCATTCATTCATTCAATCAATTGACTTTTCTCACACTTTGAAACACCATTCTGTTTTTCTCTCTCATTTAGCTGAATAATTTGTTGATGATGAGGATTTGAGAAATAATTGAAAAAAAAAGTAGCAAACATTCTGTTTGAGTGAAATATATGCATTTGAATAACGACATTATATCATTGAAAACAAAAAGAAACAAGAATATGATGATGACCATTAACCAGAAAGAAAAAATTTCGACCAATATATAATTTGCCTATTGTATATTTCTCTTTTCTCCTATTTCTTTAAAAAATGAATTTTTGAATTCAATGTTTTCGGTTGTTTATTCAGTATTTTTTTCTTTCTTCTGCCATTCAGTATTATTTGACAAACGAAATATTCAAATTTTTTTGAAATTTTCAAAAATTCTGTTTTCCCTATTTGTTTTGTTTTGTTTAAACTTTTTTTTTATGGTTCATCGATCTATGTTTACAACAAAAAAAACAAGATCTAAATGATGATGATGATGATTCATTAATGATCCATTATAAATTATTAGTCAACAATCGAAGCAAGCAAACATACAACATACACAAAGGAATTGAACCAACAAAAAAAACACAATATTGATATTTGGAAAAAAATGACATTTCGAATGTGAGAAAGAATGAGAAAAAAAGGAAAAAGAAAATTGAAAATAACCATCAAAACCCAGCCAAAACACAGTACAAACAACAACAATAACAATTCTTATTCTGGTTGTACACTGCAGTTGTTATCGAAACCCAGAATATTTTCTTTCTTTTCTTTCAATCGATTCGCTTAGCTTAATAAATGATAATAATTTTGGTTCCCCACCAGAAAAAAACCAACTAATAATGATTATAATAACCGATCCAAAAATATACATTCTCCCATACCGATACAATGTAAAATGAAGCTCTTTTTTTCTGGGTTTGATAAAAAAAAATGAACCATTTGGTAAAATATTTCTTTTTTTTTCCCATTCATTCAAGTTTGTTTTTTGTTTTGTTTTGTTGTTGGTTACTTTATTGTTGGTCATCGTTGTTTGCCATGAATTGTTTTTTTTCGGTTCCAAGAAAAAAAACATTCTGCTCTAATATGATTTATATAATAAATTTTCTTTCCATTTTCTTGGTTTCGTAACATTCATGTGAATGAGTTTTTTTTTCAATTAATTTATTATCACAATTTGCTTTCTCTGTCTTGAAAACAAAACAACAGCAACATTTTAGGTCTAATTATTTTGGATTGCTTTTTTTTATAGCACCCGTATCATCTAAGTGTGAGGGTGAGAGCGAGAGAGAGAGAGAATGAAAGATGAGCTTAATTAAAATACCCAAAAAAATATGTTATATTTAGATTTAGAGATTTTTTTGTTTTGTTTATGGTTTGTTTGCTCTTGGTATGCCGACACACTGAAAACCTAATCTTTTGGATCGGTTTTTTTTTCATTCTTGAAACCGAAATTCTGTTTGAACCGAAAATTAAAATGATGACTTTTGTTTTGTTTTTCTTTTGGATTTTTCATCATTGAATTCGAGTCGATCAGAAAAAACAATGCATTTTTTTGCAGGCATTAAGATTTTTTTTCAATCGGAAATTCAATCTCTTTGCCAGAAACGAAAACGAAAACGAAAAAAATCAAATTCAACAAGCCAAATGAAAGAAAATTTAATGTTATTTTTTTCTGTTTTTTTCTATTATCGCAACGATGCAAAAAAAAAGCAAAACAAAACAAAATCAGACTTGAAACGAAACGAAAATGAAAAGATAATAACAGCAATAATGATAATGCCATTCCTCTTGTGTGTAATATCAAACACACACACGAATTCAGATTGAACATTTTAAAGTGAATGAATGAATGAATGAATGAAAAAAATCAATAATAATGATTATTTGACGATTAAATTATCCGATTATTATTATTATTATTATTTTTATTTTGTTAGTAATTTCCGGTGATTTATCGGCTATAATCGTTTACCGCAGGGTTATCCAACCATCAGGAAATTTCCGGGAAATTTTATTTTCAACAAAAAATTTTCAATTGAAAAAAGAGAGAGAGAGAGAGAGAGAGACGGAAACATTTCTTGTGTTCAATATCAGAAGCAGAAGAAGAAGAAGAAAAATGTTTGATAATAATCAATTGAGATGAGGGGGAAAAAAGATTTTTCCACCATAAGACTTATTCTGTATTACGAAAAAAAAAGATGCTTTCCACGTTTTTCTAGCAAAAAAAAACACATTCTTTTTGCATGCATAATGATGATACATTTTCCACTTTTTCGCTTCATAAAATTGCGAAAAAAAAGTTTCAAATTCAAATCATATTTTTCATTTCCATCATCATCATCATCGATGATAATAAGATATTTCAATTTTTTATTTTTTTTTTTTGAAGTGAAAATTCATTTTAAACGCTTCAAACTAAATATCAGAAAAAAAAGATGAAATTTTTTTTTCTTGGTAAATTGAATTTTCATTTTTTTTTTGTGTGTTGCAAAATTCACTCAATAAAAATTGAATAATCAGCCCATATCTCTCTCTCTCTCTTTCTCACTGACTCGCATAACCGAAAAAAATTCGGGGAAAAAAACAATCATAATGTGTTCAATGGGCTACTACTCTGTTTCATAATCAAAATTTTCGAAAAAAAAACAAATCGATCGATCGATTGATCATGATAATCGATAAATTTGGATTTTTTGGTTCTGTTTTTTTTCCCAATACCAACATATTCAATTATTTGTTTATATAACCGGTCCCGAAAATTGAAAAATAAAAAGTTGAACATGACAAAAATGTGAATGAACATAAAGATTCATCACACCAAAGTCACACACACAACAAATTCCAATTGATAGCAAAATTGACATTGCCTAAATTGATTCGATCAAAGAAGAAAATTTAATTTTCTTCTTTCCAATTCATATATGAAATTCTTATCATTGGTTATCATTTTATTTTATTTTTTTTTTTTTTGAAACGACAAATAATCGATGATGGTTTATGATATGGATTTGTGTGTTGATTCCGCGATAACATTCATCATCATAATGATAAGAAACACCCACACACGTTCAGGTGATTAAATTTTTTTTTTTTTTTGATTATTGTTTGGCCCTTTGGGTTTTTCTATTTTGGCCATTAACGTCTATATAAAAAAAACTTTTAAGCATCTCATTTTGCTGTTGTTTCAAAACATCATTGACAAAAAAAAATTGACAATCAAAAAAAGACAGAATGTCAATGTAAAATTATCATCAACAACCATCACACTGAATCAGATAAGAATTTCTTTGTAAATCAATTAAATGATTCCAGTGTTGTTGTTGTTTTTGTCTAACACAAATTATCATCATTAAATTGAAGATTTTTTTTCTTCCATAATCATCATCATCAAAAGCAATTTTTTTTAGATGAAAGGATTGCTGCCAAAAGTTATTTTTATGGCCCTTTTTTTCCCATTCATCAGCACCAATGGATAATAATAATATAGTATTGATATTTGAAACGTGTCTGTTTGTGTCCTTTGGTACCAATTTAATTTGATAATTATGATGTCATGATTCGGTGTTAAACAACAACAAGAAATGTTCATTATGTTTGGGTGTGGATATAACTTTTTTTTTAGAAGGGATTTTCCATAGAAGTCAGAATAGAAATGGGACATTTTCTCTCTATCGGATACGGATAGCAGAAAAACAAACGCACCAGCATTTCGTTCTTGATGATAATGAAAGAATCAAAAAGAAACCAGAGTAAAATAAAGCAAAGGGAAACTTCTTTCATCGAATGAAAATTTATTATTATTATTATTATTATTTGGCAATGTTATCAGAATAATAATAATAATAATGATAGTGTAGTGAAAGAAATAATTATTAACAAAAAAAAAAAAAAAAAATCACGACTACAGAATTTTACTTTGGTTCTGGTTTTGTTTCATTTAGTAAAAAAGGTGATGATTCTTCTTACTTATTTGTGATTATTCGTGTGTGTGTGTGTGTGCATCGGAAATTCAGTTCACTGATTGAATGAATGAATAAGAATTTATGTAGGTGAATATTCTGGGCTTATGGATATCCCATTACATTTTTTTCTGGTTGTCAATTATTTTTCCATAGATTTTTTTTCCATTGAAAAAACATTTGATTTTTTCAAGAGAAAATCAATATTTTTTTCCTTCTCCGTTTGCAAATTGTTTGTAATTTTCACATTCTATAATTGTTTTCATTGTTATAACATTTCAATTATTGATTGAAATAAAGTTTCAAAAGTCTTTATTTTTTTATCATTAAACATCAAAACAACGAAATCAAAAATGCAATTTATCACTTTTTTTTTGTTTTCCCCCATTACATTTGATATTTTTTTTTGTTTCAAAAAATCAATATCATTCATCAAATGAAATTTTTTTAAAAAGATTTTTTTTTTGCATAACATTATCAAAGCGTAGGCCATTTTAACCATTGTGCTTTTCTTGTTCACCCAAAAAAATGTAACCCTTTCACTCTCTCGTTATTCAAAATTCTGAATGTCAGAATTAAGCAAACAAAGCAAAAAAAGAAAATCGATCGAATATGAAATTAGAAATGAATTGAATTTTCAATTTTGAATATAAATTCAGAATATTTTTGAACATCTGTAGTGTTTTTTTTCCTACATTTTTCTCTCTGTTTTCCGCACTTGAAATCATTTTTAAATGATGTTGTAATATTGATATGTTTATTGTTTTTAACATTGTAGGTTTTCATGTTTGTCAATGAACATCTTCAACTTTTCAATGAGAAAAAAAATAAACAGGTTAAATACAGTTGATTCAAGTGAAAGAGAAAAAACTTTATTATAATTTGTTATCGATCAGTTCTTTTTGTTTTTTTTATTATTGTTTTGATTCTATTCGCGTTCAAGTAGCTGGTTTGGTTTGGTTGGTCGTATTGAATTTCTAATTTTTCCTGTTTTTTTTTCGCTTGTTGTTGTTGTTGTTGTTGTCATTGTTATTCTTTGAAATGAAATCTTTTTTTTTCTTTTTCTTTTTTGACATTTTGAGTATTACTTTCCCTGCGTTTGGTGTGTGTGTGTTTAGATTTTGTTTTGCATTTTTTTTCTTCTCAAGATAACAGCGAGAAAGCGTAAAAAAATAAAGAAACAGCTGATTCTCTGTAAATTCTGCTTGTTGTTGTTGTTAAAGATTTCTTTTATGAACAATGTAGAAAAGAATTGAAAAAAAAATTCTTTTCCTTCCTTCTTCTTTTAAAATATCTCCACCACCATCATTATCATTGTTGCTGGGTAACCAACAGTAGCAGCTGTGTGTATATCAACATTCAATTTGAATTTTTCTTTTTCGGTTCTTGTGTAAAAATAAAATGATGTTTGTTTTTCGTAGGCTATTTTCTCTTTTTTTTCACATTTCATAAATTCTTTCAATATTTCCTTGTTGCTAAAATAGTGTTAAGTTAGTAAATCAGATCAAGATTTTATTTTTTGCATTCTTTCACCCTTAGGGTTGGAATAATATTGAGTGATGGAAAATTTATTTTATTCTTTGGAATTTATTTTTTTTCTTTTCACTTGCTTGATAATAAACAGTTTTAGTTTAGTTTTGTTCTTGGAAACTTTTCTGGATTCTTTTATTTTTGGAGAAAAATTGTATCACTTTTTTTCCTTTTTGACACAGACACACACACACAACACATGTGATGATTGAATTTAAACAGGAAAATTTTTGTTTTGTTTTGTTTTGTTTTTGGTTTTTGCCTTCCGGATACCGTTTAATCTAATATTTTTCCTCTTTTCTTTTGTTTTTTTTATATTTTGATATAAATTTCATTCAATTTGTTTAGGTGTACTTGGTAATGTTATGGTGGTTATTGTTGTATTACGTAGCCGTTCAATGCGTACACCAACAAATTGTTATTTAGTTAGTTTAGCATTAGCTGATACAATGGTATTATTAGCATCAGTACCAAATGAAATAATATCATATTATTTATTGGGTGATCGTTGGATTTGGGGACCATTTGGTTGTGCATTATTCATATTTTTACAATATTTAGGTATTAATGCATCATCATTATCGATTGCAGCATTTACTGTTGAACGTTATATTGCTATTTGTCATCCAATGTTAGCACATAAATTATGTACAGTCAGACGTGCAAAACGTATTATAATGTATGTTTGGATGTTTGCAACAACATATTGTGCACCATGGTTATTTTTAACTAAAACCGAACGTATACATTATCTTTGGATTGATCAAGAAGTTTATACATGCAAATTTAAATTAAATCGTGAATTTTATAAAGGATATTATCTTACGGATATTGTTCTATTTTATTTACTTCCATTATTAATATCATGTATATTATATGCATTAATTGCACGTATTTTATATCATAGTAATGATATGATTATTTCAACAAAAACAACAAGTACAGTATCAACACCAATGTCTAATGTTCATAATCAACAACAACAAATTCCGTCTACAACTACCACAAAACAACAACAACAACAACAACAAGAATCACCATCAAATTCCAATCAATTGAATCAATCGATAAATCATCATCATAATACAACAACAACAACAACAATGATGATTGGTGCAAATAGTAAAAAAAGTTCATCATCACATGATTCATCTCGTGTACAAGTAAGTCATGTTCATTCAATTTTCATTTGATAAAAATAAACCAATTTTGCCCAGCAAAAATATTTGCATTTAAATTGAATTGAAGAGGCCAAAAAAAAAAAAATTTAATTTAACACCAGAAAAAACACAGCAAATTGATTGCTTTGATAATTTTCATCAACAACAACAACAAAATATTCATTCATTTAAACAAATTTGTACCTCCTGTTCATGAATGAATTTTTTTTGAATGAATGGAGAAAATTCCAGAAATACAATCATCAGGAAATATTTCGAAAAACACTGGAACCCAGAATATTCCTGCATTTTTATTTCATCAAACGAGAGAAAAAATTGGAAATTTCCATTTTTTTTTATCTTACTCTGGACATTTTTTTTCGACGTTGTTGATATCGTGCAAAATATGAAACGTAGCGAGTGTAAATAAATCATGTTTTTTTTCACTGACTGGTTCGGACACATAAACAATTTGAAAATGATAATGTCTAGTGTATAGTTTATTTATTTTCATTTGACAGAATCAATGTTCAATGTTATCTTTTTTGGCTGAACGAAAAAAAAAATATTCAAAGATTTTGGAAATTTGATGATGCTTATGAGTGAATTTTTTCTTTCGCTGATCGCATAACACACAAACACACATTCATCATTTTGAAATTTTCCGTTTCTTTTTTTCTATCGAGATAGTTTTTTCCGCGATCATCAAAAAAAAAATCGACAAAATCAAAAATCAAAAATGAGAATTCAGAATTCAGAGGAAATAAAAAAATAGAGTACATTTGTTCAGCATCGACCTTATTATTTTTTCTTTTTGATTTTCACTGAAAAAAAATATTTTCTTCCTACTGATTCAATATTTGGTTATTATTTNAATTCAGAATTCAGAATTCAGAATTCAGAATTCAGAGGAAATAAAAAATAGCGTACATTTGATCGACCTTATTATTTTTTTTCACTGAAAAAAAATATTTTCTTCCTACTGATTCAATATTTGGTTATTATTTGGTTATCATTTTATAACGATATATTCGATTTTCGATATGTCCTATGCTACACACTACAGGTTATGATTACAAATCTGTTTGTTCAATTCAACTACTTTTTTTTCGACGGAAAATCCCTCATTCAAACAAGCGGGCGAAAAAAAATTGAATTTTCCGTTACATCTTTTTATCATTATGGAATTTTTTTTTCTTTGCTGTTTGCTTTCTTGAAGATTTTCTCACTTTTTCAAATATCAAAAGTAACTCTTTTTTTTCGCTTTCAATCAGCATTCATGTGTGTATGTTTGCATTCTACACTTGAAAATTTAACTTTTTCTTTTCACAATATTATTTTTATGAAATGAAATAAACAAATATTAAAATGAAAATGGATTGAATGAATGAATGAATGAATGTTGTTTACAAAAAAAAAATTGCAAAGAATTTCCTATTGAATCAATCGATTTTTACCAATTTCTAATGTATATGCTATTTTTTTAGGATGATGAAAAAAAATGATGAAAAGAAAATAATCTTTTAACCATCATTTTTATCATATGATAAAGATGATGTTGATATGTTGATTTTTGTAGAGAATATATATGCCATTATATACAAATCAAATGGAAAATATAAATTGAATCAATATGAAGCGAGCGAGCGAGAAGAAGAAGAAGAAGAAGGAAGGAAACAAAATATGATATGACTGACATTGACAGAATCATCATTCTTTTCATATCACACTATCATCATCATCATCAAATGAATAAATTTCCTTCAAACATACACC